TCATGATACGTCATTAAAATACCGTATCAATTAAAATACCACATTACGCTAATTTAAAAATATATCGTTTAAAATATTTTAATTAACACGCGACGAGGAGAATAGAAAAAATGTGAAGTATGAGCTGAACCCGTGACTTGTAAAACAATAACAATAAATACATACTTTGAACATGTCAAAATATAATTAAATTTTGTACAGCTGGAAAATGTCATAATCAATTATATGTACACTTTGTATGTATATCTCCTGATCTGACTGGATAGAAGTTGAGGAAATCTATAGCTAGTGACTGGAAAATCTTCGCTGATCAGAGGACTTGTGTGGTGCTCGTTGCCTGCAATTCTTATCCTTATTCTCCTTCATATTCACTTTGGCTCATTAATTCCATAAGACTACAGATTTCGTGATGTATACAAGAGGAATCAGAGTCTCAGAAATTAAAATTATAATACGGAAGATGAAAAAGGGAAAGACATGTGGGCTGGATGATATTCCAATAGAAGTTTGGATGGCGTTAAGAGATGCTGGAATTGTGTGGCTCACTAAGCTTTTTAATGAGATACTAAAGAAGAAGTATATGCCTGATGTATGGAGGAAAAGTATTCTTGTCCCCATCTTCAAGAATCTTCAAGAATAAAGGAGATGTGCTGAATTGTAACAATTATATGGGCATACAGTTAATGAGCCACACTATGAAACTTTAGGAGAAAGTTATCGAAATGAGATTAGGGCCACAACTACCATCTCAGGTAATCAATTTGGCTTCATGCCATGCAGATCAACCACGGAAGCCATTTTTCTTCTTAGGATGTTGATGGAAAGGTATAGAGAAGCCAAGACGGACCTACATATGGTCTTTATAGATTTAGAAAAGGTATCTGATAGGGTGCCGAGGGAAGTTTTATGGCGGGTGCTAGAAAAGAGAGGAGTGCATGTGAGGCATATTAAGGTAATTAAGGACATGTACGATGAGGTGGTCACGAGTGTGAGAACTGTTGGAGGCTACACGGCAGAGTTCCCCATTCGGATCGGCCTTCATCAAGGATCTGCTCTTAGTCATTATCTTTTCACCATTGTGATAGATGAGCTGACAAGAGAAATCCAAGATAGAGTTCCTTTGTGTATACTTTTTGCGGATGATATAATTTTAGTTGATGAACATAGGGAAGGAGTTAACCGTAAGTTAGAACTGTGGAGACAGACTCTCGAGACGAATGAATTTAAGTTAAGTATGACGAAAACTGAATACATGCATTGTAGGTTTAGTAACTCAAGTAATCAGAGTGATAGAATTTATTTAGATAGTGTGGAGATTGGGACTTCTAGGAAGTTTAGGTACCATGGGTCTATAGTGCAGTACGAAGGAGATATAGAAGAGGATATTCAACATAGGATTAAGGCATGGTGGGTTAAGTGAAAGAATGCTACGAGAGTTTTATGTGATGACAAGATGCCTATTAAGTTAAAAAGAAAGTTCTATAGGACTGTAATCCGCCCAGCTATGTTATATGGTAGTGAATGTTGGGCCATTAAGAGACAACATATATCTAAGATAAGTATGACAGAAATGTGTATGTTAAGATGGACGAGTGCCATACGAGAATGGATCGCATAAAGAATCAAGTTATTCGTAGTAAAGTAGGCGTAACACCAATAGAAGATAAGATGCACGAAGGCCACTTGAGGTGGTTCGGGCATGTCTAACGTAGACTGCTAGAAGCACCAGTTCGTGCTTGGGAGGACATTCTTATACCTAATACTAGGAGAGGGAGGGGTAGACCAAGAATTACGTGGACCGAAGCCGTTAGGAAAGACATTCTAGATATAGGCCTTCAGGAAAGTTTAATTTCGAACAGAGCCGTGTGAAAAAGTAAAATCCATATAACCGACCCCAATTAAGTTGGGATTATTCAGCTGCCTTTCAAAAAGAACGAAGACATCAATCCAACCAAGGCCACTCATCCAAGAATGACTCCATCAAATCTGGCCTTAGCCCGAGAAGAATGTGCCAATCTTCTCAAGCAAGGATTGATCGAGCCCACAAAATCAGACTAGGCTTGCTAGGCCTTCTATATAGAGAAAAGATCAGAACAGGTCCGTGAAAAGAAAAGGCTCATAATTGACTATAAGCCTTTGAACATGTTCCTGAAGGATGATAAGTTCCTTCTTCTTAGAACCAGTTCCATGTTCACTCACCTGAAAGAAGCCAAAGTCTTCTCAAAGTTTGATCTCAGGCTTATTTGTTGTTGTATATTAATTTCATTGATTTAAGTTTTATTATAGTAAAATCAACTGAAGTAAAAAGCTCTAATATTCTCTGATAATATTTTAAGCATGATGACATGTTTGTTTCATTGGAATTTGAACCTCCCATAACGTTTATTTCTCCAAGCCATTATAGAATAACCGTTTGCTGTCTGTTTACTTTAACCACCACTTTCCTGGAAACAACCGAGGTAGCACAATTTATTATAATGCACAAAAAAGTTGTTAAGCATGTCATTTGTTATTAATTAATTCCCACGTTAAGAACATGGTTGCCTCCTTTTTGACCTATAAGATTCCTTGACTCTTTGAACTTTCAAGCTTTGATGTGTTGATCAATATCGGACATGGTTCCCTACTTCCTCCTTGTGGTACTCTGCGCAGATTTATATGTTTCATCAGAAATTGGTGGGTCCTTTCATTTAATTTACTGACCATCCATTAAAACAAAACAAAAAAATATCTATATATATATAAATAATAATGGCAACCACATGGATGGGATCCGTAAACATTATTAACTTCAGTACTATGAGCGGGCAAGTGAGCCTAGAAATATTAGTTAAACCTACCACAACGTGGCTGTCTACTGACGTTTACCTTACTCCCACCTGGTTTAGTACATGAGAGGTCTCGAGTTTAAGTTCGTATTTTCAAGTTACGAGTTCAATTTCTTTAGTTCATGATATGGTGGTATATGGCTCAAATATGTGAAAATTCTTTACATTTAAATCACGTTTTAAATAGTTATGCTAGACCACTTTTCTCATACGTTACCTTACTCTCACGCAATCAATTTAATAGATAAGAGGTCTCGAATTTAAGTTCATATTTTCAAACTACGAGTTCAATCTCATTAGCTCGTTATGAGGTATATGTCTCAAATATGTGAAAATTTCTTATATTTAAATCACATTCTAAATAATTATGCTGAGCCACCTCTCACGTAGTTTAATAGATAAGAGGTCTCAAATTTAAGTTTCTATTTTCAAGCTACGAGTTTAATCTCATTATCTCATGATGAGGTATATGGCTCAAATATGTGAAAGTTCCTTACATCTAAATCACATTCTAAATAGTTATGCTGGACCACCATTCTCACTCGTTACCTTACTCCCACGCAGTTTAATAGATGAGAAGTCTCAAATTTAAGTTTCTATTTTCAAGCTACGAGTTCAATCTCATTAGCTTGTGATGAGGTATATGGCTCAAATATGTGAAAATTCCTTGCATCTATTCTATATCACGTTCTAAGAGGTAATTACGGCTCGACCACCCTTCCCATACCTGTTTTCTAAGAATACACCTTGATATACACGTATGAATTTTGTACAAAAGAAATTATTTAACAAATTCATTAGGACTCACCCTTCAAGACCAGTTTGAAAAACGAATCCTATGAGTTTTTATCCACATCAAGAGTTTAACGAGGCATTTTTATTTTAAGAATTGATTACGTACGTGGATTTCCATCCCCTCCAATATTTTGCTCTATATTTTTACACACCATTTTGTCTTTTTCTTTTATTTGTGTAATTGCTCCTGAATTTCGTAAATTTTTTTCTTGTTTAATGAAATTGATGGCACTGAAATGCGTTAAAAGGTGAATTTGGGTGCCAAATTAATTTGGATGTGATTCTGTCTTGATACTTGATCCAATTTATGAAAAAATGTACATATACTTAGAGCTCGTTTGGTTTATCCTTTTAAACTAGTAATTTTTAATTTTAGAATTTGAAATTAATTTTTTTAAAAAAAATAAAACACTGTAACAAAATTAAAATTATGAGTTTAAACGCAATAAACAAATGAACCATCTTTTGTCTGCATATAATTTTTTATTTTTTTATTTTATCTCATTGTTTGGGATATGTATTCCGTATTCGTCCATTTTGAAGAATGTGAATCACGTTCATCATGAGTAGGAACATCATTTGTCTGAGGAAAGAACATAAATAGTACGCTACCTCTCTCTATATATGTATATACGAAATTGTCTTAAATTTGGTATCCAGATGAGTCCAATAAGTGTAATTTTTTTCTATATTCTCATATATCATATTTTATTTGTATATATAATACTTAATTTATTTAAGTGTAATATTAAAAAAAAATGCAGTTTACTCTTTGTAATATTGAGTATTGAACTTGAACAAATAAAATGTTACACACAAGTAGAAATAATGCTATACGAGAAGAGAATATAAAAAATATATATATATTTATTGGACTGCCCAGCTAACTAACTTTGCATATATATATATATATATATTTAAGGTTTTAATTATTACAACTCTTACTTATTAAATATAACAATTTAATGACGTGACATAATAATAATTTAATTACATTAATCGTAAGGTTAAAATAAGATATTTATCGTATGAATAAATATTAGAGTAATAATTAAAAATATATATATATATGTGTATGTATATATGTTTTATGCTAGGTCAACTAACTATTTAATTAACGTTGTAAACATGTGAAACGTTGTATTAGTTGTACCTCTTGAATTGTCCTTGTCCTACTCGGAGAAGAAGGTACAATATACACAAAGTTACGTCTAATATCTAGACACTGTATTACGATACGACTCGTTTATGGTTCTCTCTTTTTTTGGCTAACGTGTTTGAATACGACGCCTTAAAGTATATCTAATCAATACACACACACACATATATGTATATATATCATATCTCTAGCTAGTAGATACAAAAGTATATCTCCTCCTTCTCTCACATCTTCTCATTGAACTACTAGAAAGCTCTTTCTCTCTCTGTTTCTGGCCTCTTCCCTGCAAGTTCTCATTGCATACTGAAACTTTAGAAATCTCTCTCTCCCTCTCTAATAATGGAGGCCGACCCAACATATGGATTTCCGTTGACTTTGCCTCTTCTGTTTGAAGAGAAGAAGAATGGTCTGGGAAGCAGTGACAAGCTAGAGGAAGTAGAGTCAAACCATCACCATGATGCCTCCACAAGCACCACCTCTTTCTTCAAAACCTGTTTCAATGGACTAAATGCCTTATCAGGTCTTTACTCTTTCTAGACATTCCATTTTCACTTTTACCACTTCTTGTTCTGCAATACTAAGCCTAGATTTCAACACTAAATAGAACCTAATTAAGTACTTGTAGAGACCAAGTGCTGAATTTCAAGGACAAAAACTAAGCCTAGATTTCAACACTAAATAGAACCTAATTAAGTACTTGTAGAGACCAAGTGCTGAATTTCAAGGACAAAAACTAAGCCTAGATTTCAACACTAAATAGAACCTAATTAAGTACTTGTAGAGACCAAGTGCTGAATTTCAAGGACAAAAACTAAGCCTAGATTTCAACACTAAATAGAACCTAATTAAGTACTTGTAGAGACCAAGTGCTGAATTTCAAGGACAAAAACTTAGTCAATTTTTTTTATTTTTTTTTTTATTTTTTCTTGTACCATGTAACAAACTTTACTATTACAAGGCCTAAAGCTTAATGCTAAATTTGGTATTTCCCTTTTATGTTTTTCAGGAGTTGGGATATTATCAGTTCCTTATGCACTGGCCTCAGGAGGGTGGCTAAGCTTGATACTATTCTTTACTCTTGCACTAGCAGCCTTTTACTCTGGCTTGCTCATTAAAAGATGCATGGATTTCGATTCCAACATTCGAACATACCCCGACATTGGAGAACGCGCTTTCGGAAACAAAGGAAGGATTATAATATCAGTCATCATGTACACAGAGCTCTACTTAGTCTCAGCAGGCTTCCTGATTCTAGAAGGGGACAACTTGAGCAATCTGTTTCCGGGGGTCGGGCTCGAGTTTTCGGGATTAGCTATTGATGGGAAACAATGCTTTGTGTTGATTGTTGCCCTTGTTATCTTACCATCAGTTTGGTTGGATAATCTGAGCCTTCTTTCTTATCTCTCAGCAAGTGGGGTTTTAGCCTCTGCTATCATTCTGGGATCGATTCTGTGGACCGGCGCTTTCGACGGAATTGGATTCCGCCAAGAGGGAACTCTGCTTAATTGGAGCGGAATCCCTACTGCTGTTAGTTTGTTTGCCTTTTGTTATTGTGCACACCCAGTTTTCCCCACCCTCTACAGTTCCATGAAGGAAAAACACCAATTCTCCAATGTAAGTAAAATGGGTACTTATCTTTTAGAATTCATATTTTTTTTAATAGGACAATTTTTTGATAGGATACAAAAAATACCCCTATTGATACCTCACAATTTTGATAACCATCAAAAAATATAATTTTTTTTTTGTTAGATGTGATTGTTTTTAAGAATTTTTTACCGTAATAAAATTTAAATTTTAAACTCAAATCGGTGAAATGAACGGACCTAATTCTTTTTCTTGTGCAGGTCCTGCTTCTCTGTTTCCTCCTCTGCACTATTAGCTACGCATCAATGGCAGTATTCGGGTACTTAATGTTCGGATCCGGGGTTGAATCACAGATCACTTTGAACCTCCCAACAGCAAAGCTCAGCTCAAGAGTGGCAATATACACAACATTGGTCAATCCCATAGCTAAATATGCTCTAATGGTCACACCCATAATTGACGCTGTAAAAAATGGATGTCCGTGCCCCATTAACAAACGACTCTTAAGTCTATTGATTGGCACAACCTTGGTCATCAGCTCTGTCGTAGTAGCACTATCCGTGCCATTTTTCGCTTCCCTAATGTCATTGGTTGGGGCATTTTTGAGCGTCGCAGCTTCAATCATACTTCCATGTTTGTGTTACTTAAAGATTTCTGGTGTTTACCGGAGATTTGGATTTGAAGTGGTGGTTCTAGTGGGGATTATATTAATGGGCGTTGCAGTTACTGTATTTGGTACCTATACGTCTGTATTAGAGATAATAGGAAATCTGAAAATGTAAAAACTTATATTTTTTGGGAGGTTCAGAGAGCATATCATTGGATTTGCCTCTTTGGATTTTTGTTTAGGATAGTTTTTATTGGATTTGCCTCTTTGGATTCTTGTTTAGGATAGTTTTTATTGACCACTGCTTGGGAGTTGTTGAACAAGTTATGCTTAGCATTTTGTGAGCGCCAACTGTAGCTCATGTTAATCAATGTATTTTTTTTTTTTAAAATAAAAATGAGTGTAAACAGTTTGTCCCGCGATTTTCTTCCTATAATTTAACACCTTTCGCATTACTGAATGTAGAGGCTTCACTCTTCTAAGCAGTAAATGCCGTTTTATATTTTTGTCGTTTCCCGAGTGGTTGTCGTTTCGTATGGTGTTCGTCTTCTTGTCGTTTTTATGTCGTATTTTCTCATGATCTCATTCTCTTGCCACCCCTCTACCTCTTTCACGCTGATTACCCACTCACGTTTGGTGTACTTTTTTCGCTGTTGGCCCTATTCAAATCGCTGCGATTCCCTGTTGCTATGATTTTCTGTTTATTGTCGTTTGATTTTAGTGTTCTCGTCCTTTTCCCTTTTTCATGTCTTCATAGGATTGTTGCGATTCTTCATTGTTTCTTTTAATACTTTATAAGACAATATAAATAATACAGAGACATAAAATAAAAGAACACGAGAAAAATAGTATCGCGGTTCGGTCACAACTTACTACGCGAGGCCACGCCTAGATAATGAACAATCCACTAAGAACTCTTTTACAATTTAATTGGACTTAATCTACCCGAGAATCCATCTCTAAGAAGACGCCTATGAACTTATAATTTTCCAATGGACTTGAACAGCGAGATCCCCTCGACTTTTTAACATTGGAATCTCTCCAACTAAGTTTTTCTCTAAAAAAACACTCAAATCATCTCTCTGGAATACAAGTGCTCACCTCTCTCACAACCTAGCAAAACTAATCAAAATGTGTACAAAGATACAAGAGACTCTTTGAATAAATAAGCAAAAATGATAACAGCTTGACGACCTCTTCAATTAATTCGCTGAACCAAATCTGTTGCAAATCCTTGTTGCAACAATAACTGCAACATAGCTGTCAAGGTCAACTTTATCAAAACCAGCCCGAATCAATCTGGTTTAATTCAGAAACCTTTTCGAAACTGATATATAAACCTGGACACGTTCTTATGAGACAGAGAAAGACCATCTAGCTACGAAAACTCAATCAAATATCAATCAAATCACCAATTAACAATTTACCATCTTAAGATCAATAGTTGACTTTTTAAAAACAGTAACTGAATTAAGTTTCCAGATCTTATAGAAACCTTCCATAAAGAGTTTGCCAGCTGCACATCTATTCTCAAACACAATCAACCAGCCAATCATTCCTAAAATAATGCCAATCATAAAATGATTAGAATCAATACAGAATTTGAGAAATAAATCCCAACAATCTCCCCATTTGGCATTGTTTTGACAAAACTAAAAATGGAAACTGAAACAAAATAACTTTCATAAAGTCAGAAGCAAATTGTCTCCAAGAAAAACTCCGCCTGAACTAAAACATCATAGACTACTTACTCCCCCTTTTTGATAAAAATAAGCCAAAATAAAACTGATGTCGCAGAAAGTGTTGCAACACCTGATGGAACACTCTGTGCAACACTTTCCTCCAGATCACGTTCCAATTCATTGATTTCTACAAATTGCTCTCCCTAAATCCTCTATGAGTCTTATTCCCCCTGAATCCTCTACGAGTCTTACTCCCTTTGAATATGATAGTCTCTCATGCATATTACTTTTATCACCTATCAAAAGCTTGAAGTGACCATTACCACAATACTCAGAGTTAGTAGTACATGCTTTAAAAGAAGTGTAAGCCCCATGACACCTTAAATCAGATTTTCTTACCCACACAAGTCTAGGAAATTTATTTTCCACATCAATCTTTGCTTTAGGTGTCCTTCTGGTGAATGCGAAATTTAGTGGATTAATGATCATATCTCTTTTTAAAGCATTCAAGTATTTGTAACATCTAGGTATAATGTGGCCAAGCAAATTACAATAGTGATAGATAGGAACAAACCTGTTTGTTGCTTGTCTTGTTACAACAGGCTTTGCAACAAACTTCTTGTCTAATCTTACCCGAGCTTTCTTAAAAGACTGCATCATAGTACTAGTGGCTCCTTTCACAAAGACAGTCTTTCCAAAAATTTCTTGACCCTTGTAGCCAAGGCCTGAATGATCACCACAAGTTTTTTGTTGTGAGAGTAAGTGATCCAATTTTGTTGTGCCCGAGTTTAGCATCCTTAAATTCTTCTGGGTATGCTCTAATTCGAGTCTGGTCTCAGTAAGCTTTATTTGATGCTTTGTTGCCAAGATTTCATAATTTGTTGCAGTTTTCTTCAACTCATCTCTTTCCTTTGTTAAGACAACAACTTCATCTTCAAGCGATTTATTTCGTTTGCAAACAACAAGCAATTTGTTGTACATCTTTTTATAAGCCTCACGAATCTTCCCAAGACTTAGGTCATCGTCGCCACTGTCATCTTCAGTTTCATCCTCGAAATCTATATCATCAACAACTCCCCCAGAAGTTGTTACAGATGCTGTTGCAACAGACTCTGCAACAACATTATCAGTGTTCAACAAATTTTTATCTGTGAATTTATTACTTACAGTGAAGGCCACATAATTACTGGTGTGATCATATGCTTCCTCTTGACTTTCATCCGAATCATCACTCCATGTAGACGCCATGGCAGCCTTGTTTCTCTTCTTGAGAGTGTTTCCACGCTCCGCTTGAACATGTCTGAATCCTTCACATTCTTGGCATTGTATTCCCTTATTTCTTTTCTTCCCTTCAAACTGTTAAGAGTTAAAATTCTTCTTTTGAGAATTTTTGTTCTTTGAATTCTCTCTAAATATCCATTTCTTGTTGATTTTTCTCAGCATTTTATTGAAGTTTTTGGTGAGTAAGGTAAGAGACTCACTCAAGTCGCCATCTTCATCGGTCTCATCTTTGGTGGACATATCATCATAATCAGCTTGAAGAGTAATTCCTCTACTTTTCTTTTTATCCTTAAAGTTTATCTCAAAGGTTTGAAGATTACATATGAGTTCATCAAGTCTCATCTTCTCCACGTTTTTTACTTCTTCGATGGCTGTCACTTTGTAAGCAAAACGTGCCGGAAGTGACCTCAAGGTCTTTTTCACCAATTTGGCATCAGAATATTTTTCTCCAATGGCGAAGGCTTCGTTAGCAATATTACAAAGCTTTAAGTTGAAATTGACAATACACTCATCTTCCTCCATACGCAAACGCTCAAAACGAGTTGTGAGGATTTGAAGTTTTAAAGACTTCACAGCATCCGTACCTTCATGTGCAGTTCGAAGAATATCCCACGCTTCATTAGCGGACTCACATGTTAAAATCAATTTGAATTGATTAACATCCACAGCATTGAAAATGGCGTTCAATGCTTTTGAATTACTGTTTGCTAGCTTGTCCTCATCGTTGGACCATTCCTCTTCTGGCTTAGGAATGGTATTGCCTTTATCATCTTTAGTTGTTGGATGAGTCCATCCGGTTAAGACAGATCGTCATACCTTCTCATCAATAGCTTTAATGAAAGCTTTCATGCGAGCCTTCCAATAGGGGTAATTGACACCTTCTAGAAACAGTGGTTTGTTTACAATTCCTCCTTCTCTCATGACATCCATTCATGCAAAATCAACCAGTACACCAGGACCTCACCAAAATACACGTCAGTGACCCACTCTGATACCAATTGTTAGTACCGGTTTGAGTCTTTTAATACTTTGTAAGACAATATAAATAATGCAGAGACGTAAAATAAAAGAACATGAGAGAAATGGTATCGCGGTTCGGTCACAACCTACTCCATGGGGCCACGCCCAGATGATGAACAATCCACTAAGAACTCTTTGACAATTCAATTGGACTTAATCTACCCGAGAATCCCTCTCTAAGAAGACGCCTATGAACTTGCAATTTCCCAATGGACTTGAACAGCGAGATCCCCTCGACTTGTTAACATTGGAATCCCTCCAACTAAGTTTTTCTCTCAAAAAACACTCAAATCATCTCTCTTGAATATAAGTGCTCACCTCTCTCACAACCCAGCATAACTAATCAAAAGGTGTACAGCGATACAAAAGACTCTTTGAATAAATAAGAAAAAATGATAACAGCTTGACGGCCTCTTCAATTTATTCGTTGAACCAAATCTGTTGCAGATCCTTGTTGCAACAATAACTGTAACATATCTGTCTAGGTCGACTTTCTCAAAACCAGTCCGAATCAATCTGCTTTAATTCTAAAACCTTTCCGAAACTGATATATGAACCTGGACACGTTCTTAGGAGACAGAGGAAGATCATCCAGCTACGAAAACTCAATCAAATATCAATCAAATCACCAATTAACAATTTACCATCTTAGGATCAATAATTGACTTTTCAAAAATAGTAACTGAATTAAGTTTCTAGATCTTACAGAAACCTTTCATAAAGAGCTTACCAACTGCACATCTATTCTCAAATATAATCAACCAGCCAATCATTTCTAAAATAATGCCAATCATAAAATGATTAGAATCAATACAGAATTTGGGAAACAAATCCCAACATTCATGTTGACGTTCCTTGTGTTTTTTGTTATTGAACTTGATGTCGCTGTTAAGTTTATGTCTGGTATTTTTGTTGTCGTTTCGTGTATCAACGTATTTTAATTTTTTTCGCGGTTTAATTGCTCGCAAGTCTGACTCGACATTCTTTTACTTTCCACAATGTTGACGTTTGATTTTTCACGTGGTTGCTTTTGTTCTTCACGTCAATGTCGTTCGTAAATAAAGACTTTTCACTGTAATTATCCGCATGTTCCTAGCAAAAACATATAATTCTGCCTAAAGTCCCAGTCCCTCTAATCATCAACGTTCGTTTTTTTTTTTTTTTTTTTTTTTCACTTAAGATAAGGAGGGGAGAAACAGACAAATAGTAGTCTGTCTCTACATAAACGCATTATCAGCAAATAGCAAAGTGGAAAAGATGTCGTTTGTTGAATACCAAACTTCCCACATTTGCAACAAGAAAAGGAAAATTGCCAACAAACTTTGTTACAGCTTACAGGTTGATCATCTTCATGTGCAAATTCAGTACATCTAATAACTTGTAAATACACTCATAATCAGCATTAGAATCATAACCAGAAAAAAACCTACAGATTAAACCACCTGACTCAATGCAACTCTCCCCTGCCGGCTTCTTCATCCTTCCCTTTCTCATAACTCTTCTCACATCAGCCGCTTCCTTCCACCTCCCAACTCCAGCATACATGTTCGCCACCATCACTAGATTCCCGCACCTCCTCGGCTCCAACTCAAGCAACCTCTTCCTCACCTTATCCCCCACGCCCTCATCATCGTTGGCGCCACTCGCACTGCAGGCACTCAGCAGTGTCCTCCACACAACAGGGTCAGGCTCAATGGGCATGTTCTTTATGAAATCGTAAGCCTCGCTGAGGTGGCCAGCGCGGCCTAAGACATCAACCATGGCGCCATAATGTATCACCATGGGCTTAATTCCGTGCACATGCTCCATTTCGTGAAAGTAGCGGTAACCATCGTGTACCAGACCGGTGTGGCTACAAGCACAGAGGACGCCGAGAAACGTGACGTAGTTTGGCCGTACAGAAGAGTTCATCATTTTTGAGAAAAGATCAAGAGCTTCTTTGGCAAAGCCGTGTTGGGCAAGTCCTAATATCATTGCACTCCAAGTCCATACGTTTCTCTCTTTCAGCCTATGAAAGAGTACCTCGGCGAAAGAAAGAGCGCCGGACTTGGCGTACATGTGTACGAGAGCAGTACCAAGTTGGCAATTTATAACCAATCCTCTTACAATTGCTTGAGAATGAATCCATCTCCCTAAGCTCAAGTTTCCCAGCTCCGCAGCCGCGGAAAGCAAGACCACCATGGTAGTCTCGTTGGGCTCAAACTTGGAATTCCTCATCTTAACAAAATACCCAATTCCATCACCAAACTGCAGATTCTCAACGCAGGCGGTAATAACCGAATTCCATGAAACAGTGGTTCTCACAGGCATTTCATCGAACATCCGACGCGCATCCTTAATCTTCTTGCAACACCCGTAAAAATTGATCAAATTGTTCCGAACATAAACATCGACGTCCAATCCAAACTTGAAGGCGTCAACCTGCACCTGCCTCCCTTGTCTAAGCGCCGCGACCGCAGCGCAAGCCTTAAAAAGAAACGAGAAGGTAAGATTGTTGGGTCTAATTCCCCGGCCCCGCATTTTGCGGAAAACCGAGATGGCCTCTCGAGAAGAGCGTTCGCCGGAGGCGTAGCCTCTGATGAGGAAGTTCCACGAAGCGGTCGGCGAGTCATCGGAGTGATCAAGAAGGGTTCGGGCGTAGCGCAAGTCTTTTGAGGGAGATAACGCGCAGAAGCGGACGAGCTCTGTGAGGAGAAATGGGTCTCGGTGAAGGCCGAAGACACGGAGGCGAGCGTGAATCTGAGAGAGGTGTTTGATGGATGGGCAGAGCTTGAGAAGAGAGAGGAAATGGTGGTTTATGGAGAGAAAATTTGAGACCGTTGGGGAGTTCTGGAGGGAAGATTTTGTTGAAATCCCAACCATCCATTCAGTTGGGCTTTGGGCTGCCAAAGGTTGTTCTTTTTCCTCTTACTCTTGTTGCGTGTGCACGTCTTCTTTTCCTTTAATTAATTTTTGAGTGAAAGTTATCCGTTAATTTTCTTTATGAACAGCAGTGTAGGGTAAGACGACCAGCTGTAGTTGCTTTATATGGGCGTGATTATACGAGACCTCACATGCTTAGAAATGTCTGTATTGTGCTAATGAATAATGAGCTAAGGTAATTAATTAATGAAAATCATCTAAAATTAACTCTTACCGAGAGTTATTGAACAATGAGCCGGTCACTTAAAAATAATGTAGAGTAATTGATTAATGAGAATCATCAAAACTTTTTTATTAGAAAAACTTTTTTTTTTTTTTTTTAAACTTGTTATACCCGTATACTTGTGATTACGTATGGATACTTTGTGTTACTTGATAGATAGGTTTTCATCTTCAGAAAAACTTTTTTGACTTGATTTCATATGAATTCATCCCTTGAATTTGTCAGATTTGAGTTCGCTTAGTTTAAGTTTATCCAATTTTATCAACTGCTCAACAACATAATACGCACACACAGAAATTCACAAGCTTTTCTAATAATTGAACACTAAAACCTTGCTAATTACGTACATTCTGTTCTGCAAGCTATACTCTCGCCAAACTAACTGTGCATAACCATATTGTACAAGACTGTTCTATGCCTATACTTCATGACTGCATCTATTGATGTATGTATGTGTGTGTGTGTGTGTGTGTATATATATATATATATAGACCTAGGCTTCAATCATTTGGCGGACAGGGATTTTGTTGACCTTTATAGGAGTCGTCTCGGTGAATTCAGAAAGAATTGCTCTAAATTCATCTCCCGTTAGCGTTTCCTTTTCTTGTAGAACCTCAACTAGTTTATCTATCGCCTCACGGTTGTTCCTTATGTGGTTCTTTGCAATCTCATATGCATTCCCTACTATGCGTCGCACCGCCGAGTCAATGTCCTCCGCAAGCTTTTCCGAGATGGAGTTCCTTGCCAGCATCCTCAGCACCATGTCGCCGCTTTGAACCACGGGGTCCATCAAGGCCCATGGACCAATCTCCGACATGCCAAACATTGTTACCATCTGCGAAACAAAACAAGAAAACTTGTTAGTACTATATGAGTCTGATGTGATCTGACGTAGAAAAAAACAGAAAAGTATATATTGCACAGGCATATAATATATATACCTGTCTTGCTATCTGTGTGATTTGTTGCAAGTCCCCTGCGGCTCCGGTGGTGATTTCCGGTTCGCCAAAGATGACTTCCTCAGCGGCTCGACCCCCTAGGCCTCCGACTATTCTAGCAAATAGTTGTTGCTTGGAGATGAGAGTGGGATCTTCTGCCGGTATGAACCATGTTAGTCCACGGGCTTGGCCTCTTGGAATAAGAGTAACTTTCTGTACTGGGTCATGGCCTGGCGTCAATGTGCTGCAAAATATCAAACAATAATGTGTGCATAATTAGTTTATTATAGTTCAAAAGGTAGTGCTCTAATATGTTATGAATTAATGCATGAAAATTTGTGACTAAATTGTACTATTTCTTCCATTGCCTCTTTAGTGAGACGTGCAAAGGCTAATGCATTTAGTACGGCAAGAAGTTGTGGAGGATGAAAGAACTTACGCGCAGACGGCATGGCCGACTTCATGGTAAGCCACCAGGGTTTTGTTCTTTCCATCTGTCATCTTTGTTCCCTCCATACCGCCCACAATCCGATCAATCGAGTCATCGATTTCCTCAATTGTGATCTTGTCTTTGCCTCTCCTACCAGCAAGAATGGCTGCTTCATTCATGAGATTCGCCAGGTCCGCTCCGCTAAATCCTGGCGTTCGCATGGCAATTAGGCTGAGAGAAACATCCTTGTCAAGCCTCTTGTTGTTGCTATGCACCTTTAGTATCTCTTCTCTTCCTTTTATATCCGGTAATCCAACAGTAACCTAACAAAAACAGACAAACTTACTACTGTCCTAAACTAAGTTTTCAAAGCATTTTTTTTAAAGGGGCGATTACCTTACCTGTCTGTCAAATCTGCCAGGCCTAAGCAAAGCAGAATCAAGAATTTCGGGCCGATTAGTAGCTGCAATGACAATCACTCCACTATTTCCACTAAAACCATCCATTTCAGTGAGCAACTGATTCAAAGTCTGTTCCCTCTCATCATTTCCTCCACCAATGCCTGTCCCTCTCTGCCTCCCCACAGCATCTATCTCATCAATGAACACCAAGCACGGCGAATTCGCCTTTGCCTTGTTGAACAAGTCACGCACCCTTGACGCCCCTACTCCGACAAACATCTCGATGAACTCTGACCCCGAAAGAGAGAAGAAAGGAACCCCTGCTTCCCCTGCAATGGCCTTGGCCAGCAATGTCTTTCCAGTCCCAGGTGGCCCCACTAAGAGAACACCCTTGGGAATTCTTGCCCCAACAGCAGCAAACTTTTCTGGGGTTTTCAAGAACTCCACAATCTCTTGGAAATCTTGCTTCGCTTCATCAACTCCAGCCACATCATCAAATGTCACCCCAGTGTTTGGTTCCATTTGAAATTTGGCTTTGCTCCTGATATGCCACAAGAATCATGTCAGTGAAAAAACATAAATAGTGCTAGAAAATCATAGTTCTTTGTTTTATAAAAAAAAATGTTTGGGAGCACCGGACCCCACTTGTAGACCCCAGAGCATGGAACAGGCTTTTATTAATATGTGATGTTGAGCACTACCGGTATCTCCTAACATTGCTCTTTATTGAATGAATGCTGTTCTCTCTTAAAAAAAGAAAAAATAAATAAAGAAGTCATAAAAGATGAATGAAAAATCTGTTCAATTAGTACCTTCCGAGGCCAAAAGGCAAGTTGGGTCCTCCTGCAGGTGTGTTTGGACCTGAACTCCTTAAGATCAATGAGCCAAGCAATATCAATGGAAAAGCCAAGTTTCCCAACAAGTCTAGTATTGCAGGCCAATAGTTGATTTCCATAGGATGAGCAGCAAAATCCACATTCTTCTCTTTCATTTTCCTCACCAGTTCTTCTGGCAATCCAGGCAACTGAATCTTGACTCTCTGGATCTTCTCTAACGTCGGGTTAAAGATTTCGGCGATCGCAACGGTGCCGTTCTCGAACAGGTCCACTTTCTTCACAGCTCCTTGTTCCAAGTACTGCAAGAATCTGGAGTAGGACATTCTACTTGAGGTTGAAGAAACAGGGCTCTCTGGCTCAGCCCTTGCAGGCTTAGAAACAGAGAGCCCTATTCCTATAAGCCCCAAAGCAGTAGAGTTTATCAAGTTTCTTCTGCTGAGTTTGAGTTCTGAGGGATTTCTGTGACATGGGTCTTCTTTGTTTGTGATTTTGGGAAGGTGGTTCTCTCTAGAAATGTCCTCGGACTTGCAGATTGGAGGGAGAGAAACAGAGAGAGATAAGGACATTTTCTTTGTGTTATGTTATGAGTAGTTGAATGTGCTTGAAGAGGGCTTTTTTTTTTTTGTTTCTACCGTTAGAGAAGTTAGTTGGTGATCAGATTTGGTTTGGACGGAATGAGTGAGTTGCTTAAATATGGGAGACGATGGAGATTTCCAGTACTCCTTTTGTCATTTTTGTTAGTTTGATTTTATTTGTTCCCTCAAAGTTCAAACTTTCTATTTGATTCATGAAGGATCCAGAATAGTCTTTGTCTGTAGCTTTTATAGTTATGTATGATGAGCAAGTTTATGGAAAAGTGAAAACTGAAATGTCTTTTTCTCAGCCACACACTTGGAAGGAAAAAAGTGGTATATTCCATCTGTGGATTAGCATTCGTCCTAAAAATATATCACGAAATTGTGCCACGTAATAATTGACATTGTTTGGCAGTTGTATAGTATTATTTGAGCTCCAAAAGCTTGCAAATGAACCACAATTTATTAAACTTTTCCTGAAATATCTATATGCTTTATCAATCTTTCCACCTTTATCGGCATTACATTAAAAAAAGGGGAAAAAAAACTTTATCGGCATTTTTTTTATATATGATGAAATCAAAGATTTGAAGTTTGAACTCTTTGATTAAGTTAAGAACAAGAAATGTGTCGGATTCCTGGTCTGGATGAACGGTTGTCCACTTTCTTCTCCACAGGATATAAAAATATTAAAAGAAAAAAAAAAAAAAAACGAGAAAACGACATGGAAAAGAAACGACAGCAATTTCTATAGAGCAGCGTCAAGTGCAAAACAATATCAAAATAATTAACGACGTCAAGTTTATAAACGACATCAATTGACAAACCAACAAAATAAGAACACGACAACAAGAGGACACTGACAGTGGAAACGACAGAAAACGAAAACCAATTGGAAAACAAATAACGTGGAAAAAGGAAATCAAACGTCATAACGACAACATAAAAAACGGCATGCTCAAAATTGAAAACGGCAAAAATCCTAAAAATTGGCATCCACGTATAAACGATGACATACCCAAAAAACGACATCCACGTGAAAACGACAAAAATAAAAACGGACACAAAATATAAATTGAAAAACGACAACAATCCCAGAAAACGCATCTACATATAAACGACAAGAATCCAGAAAAATGGTGAATCCACATATAAACAACATAATACGACTTCATTAGACAAAGGACAAGAGCAGATGAACAACATAAATTTGCAAGCGACATGGACGTAAAAACGACAAAAAATCAACAACGACATGAAACATCAAGACATTAACAATGCAGAAACGACATAGAAGACCGAAAACAATCCTGAGAAGTGAGAGAACAACATGGAGAAACACGCCAACCAGAAACGAGATCAATAGGAAAAATAGGTGTTCTTTTTTACTTTTATTAGTTTGGCTGAATATGAAGACACCATATATATATTATATATATATATATTGAACCATTTTTGTAAGTACGAATACGATCTACATAATTTCTCAAAAAAAAATAAAATGTAACGACATACATAAACGGTTACCAATACCCATTTCCATAATAATCCCAAACAAACAAAAAAAAATACTTCCCATAACCGTCAATAACCACCCAAAAAAAAAAAAAAAAAAATCCAATTCACATCACATGTCACAAAAGCCCTCCTTCTCCATCACTTACATATATAACCCGAAAAACCACCCTGAACACTTCACGCCATTTTAATTTTCTTTCTGAAACCATCTTCTCTTCATCAAACTAGAAAAGTACCATGGAGCCAACCGAAGGAACCCCGATCGGCATCAAAATCTACACCACAACCCCACAAGACTACGACACCAACGCCGCCGCGCCGCCTTACCCCTCCGACCCAACCTCCTCCTCCACCATTGCCGCGGCGCCTCGGGAACCGGGACGCAAGCGACGCGTGGTGGCGAAGGGCGTGCAGAAGACGCTCTCAAAGACCTCCATGCTGGCCAACTTCCTCCCAACCGGCACTCTCCTTACCTTTGAGATGGTCCTCCCCGCGATCTACCGCAACGGCGGCTGCTCCGCCGTGACCACCGCCATGGTCCACGTACTCCTCGGCCTCTGCTCCCTCTCCTGCTTCTTCTTCCACTTCACCGACAGCTTCCGCGGCCCCGACGGCAAGGTCTACTACGGCTTCGTCACCCCCAAGGGTCTGGCCGTCTTCAAGCCTGGTCTCGACGTCGAGGTTCCAAAGGACGAGAGGTACAAGCTTGGACTTACGGACTTTGTCCATGCGGTCATGTCGGTCATGGTGTTCGTGGCGATCGCGTTCTCCGACCACCGCGTGACGGATTGTCTGTTTCCCGGCCACCAGAAGGACATGGATGAGATCATGGAGAGCTTTCCGTTGATGGTTGGGATTGTTTGCAGTGGATTGTTCCTCGTGTTTCCCACTACGAGGTATGGGATTGGTTGCATGGCTTCCTAAGAACATGAAAAGAGAGGGACAATTTATTAATTACTGATGTTTGTAGTAGTTGTTATCGTTTGTTTGTGTAGTAGTTTTCTGGTTTGGGTTCTCAGTGGATTTATAGAAGATTTATATATGTGTTTGTTTAACTGTATATTTTAGAGACTCGGTGTACTATTGAATATTGTTTTAATTATTTGTTGTTTTTATTATTTAGTGTCTGTTAAAGGCATAATCATATAAAATCATTCTGTAGGAACAATTATATATATCTCTCTCTCACACACACACACAATATCATTATCATACATACCCGATGCAATATATATTCCCTTAAGCAAAGACAGTCATAGCATACATGATTCAAGAAAACGACATCTGTTTTTTGTTTTTTGTGATTATTTACAGTAGCAACATGTCCTTTACATACATTTATTTTTTTTATCACGCTTCCTCCTCCAACAGAGTTAAACGTGTAAAATTCATTCAGTGTCGTTTCTCTCTAATCTGAACGGCATTTTCGTTGCTGTAAGACGCATGATGTCGTTTTATGGGTTCATATAAGACGATATGTTGATGTTTCCAGTAGTCATTATACTTTAGCAAATAAACGACGTGTAGTGTCTTTTCCATATTAAAAAAAAAAAGAGACAAAAAGAAAATCTCGCCCAATAATCTTATCCTCTTTTGAACGACGAGTAGGACACATATTCTTTTATTAGATGGTTTTAAATTTTTTTTTTCAAATAAATGACAAATGTCGTTTCTTGATGAAGAAAACATACGATTTAAGTTTTTATGGTCGTTTTTTTCTCACGTGACTCTTTTCTTACTAAAAACGGCATGCAGTTATTAATAAAATGGCTTGTCGTTTTTCGTAAAGGGGAAAAGTGATCCTGAGTATCAAGTAATGTTAGTGTAACTACATGTCGTTTCTAGCATTGTAAATTATAAAAATGATTTCTCGTTTCTGTTCAATGACATCTTAAATTTTAAAAGTAAAATTATATATTTTCACATATCATTGCGTATATATCTTAATTGTCTTGCTCGAAGGGAAACCAGACGTGTCCTTAAATGGAAGCAATACATTAACATTTAATCTTATCGTCGTTTTCCTACGCAACGACATTTATTTTTTCTTACTTTTTCTTCAATTTTTGATGTATAAATTCATTCTAGAACTAAATGTGTTTTGTTCTTTTGAAAAAGAGAACTAGATTTAAAAAGAGAAGAATGGCACGTCTTTGTTTTGTCCAGGGGGAGGGATTCTTCTTCCACATATGAAATTGCTGCAAAAATCATGGGCCATTTTTATTCCTTAATTTGTTTCGTTAGTTTTTTGTTAGACCATGATTTGGACTCTCTAAGATTAGTCCAATAACAACAGTGGAGATTTGCAATGGTTGTACAAGCTAAATGAAGCTTTAATAGTGAAGATAGCTTCTCTTGGTTGTTGATTTAGTTTTCTTTTCATGAACGTTTTAAGAAATTTAATTTTTATTATAATGTTTTGTTTGGGTTTAAAACAAATTAATCAGTTTGTAAGTCTACTCGTATTATTTTATGGAATGGATTATGGTTTAATATATTGTATTCAACTAACAAAGAACAGCTCTTGTTTAATTATTTTAGAGTACAAAAGAGATTAAATTCATCTAAAAGCTCAGTTTTGGCCACATTAGCAAACTTTTTACAAGTTAAAAGCTTTCTGTTCACTTCGCTGATTCGAATTTGTAATTCGAGTTGAGATGTGATTTTGTGCGAGAGCTTTTTACTGTAGTAAAAAAGTTAAATGTGACTGTTTCTGAGAGTTTTTTACTGTAGTAAAACTCGAATCGGCGAAATGAACGGGGCCTTAAAATCTGTATGTTAACTAGTCAAAAGGGGATCTAAGAAACGTTTTCCAGAACTTTTGATATGGTAGACATGAAACTCTGTATAGCATTTTTGGCCAGGACACCTTTTATTTTTTTTTTATTTTTTTTTTCGTTTTAGGCTAATTAGAGCCAGGACGCCTTTCTTGTAGTGTAAATACAATTTATGGGGAAAATTAAACATTTTGTTTGTTAATAATTGCCATACACGTGTACATCTTTTTAAATATTTAAATGAGACGAATCATCCAAAACTTACATACAAGCGTAATCGCTTTAGTTTTCCTTTAATTTGGTCAACCAAGTGAAATAGGAAGGATATTTTCCGGGAGATTTCTCTAGTAGTATGGACAAATAATCTCTTGACTAAATCTGGCAAATTAAAATGTCCTTATCATTAGTGAGTAGCATTTTCCAACACATGTGATGACTTCAAAGACGACTTAAAGCTTAGAGAAACCTTTTGGAAGAAACCCATTACATTGTCAAAATGTCGACTACATGTAATTTCTATGAATCTGCAAAGTTCAATCAGTTTAGTAATCAGAATCTTGACAGTTCCTTAGAAGAAGACAAAGCTAGTATTGGAAAATCAACATCTCTTCGGCATATTTATCCATGAGAACAGTTACCTCGCAACGTGTTCTGCGGTTTTAAATATACAGTGGCATAAGTGAAAAGCAGGCACATCCTTCAAATAGAGTTGGATCTAGTCTTTTTCATTCTATTTAGTGGGCCTTATAATTTTTAAAGTGACGAAGAGAATGGACGATTGGATACCACAAAAAGAGAAAAAAAAAAAAAAAAAAAGTAAAGTTTTGATTGTTAACTTAAGTTACCATTCTATTCATAGTCCGTTCAGTTAATAGGCTTCAATAAAAATTAAAATTTTTATGAGAGAAAATATTATAATAAAAAAATTTAAATCGTAGTTCTAACAAGCGAAAGGAACAGGTGCTCACTTCTTTCTTTCTTTTCAAAACAATTGTGCTTTTATTTCTCACTTTTTAGAACTCAATTTTGTTTTAGAATTACATATATCTTCAAGTCAACGAAGTAAATGCCTGCTTAAACTCAATTTCCATGCATGAGAGGGTTAAGTAATAGGAAGGTTACTCGTGAAAGCCATTGACTAAATTTGTGATCATCCTTGTATACAAGGATTGTGAGGTAAGTTAGGCATGTCCCATAACATATATTCCCTTCTCACTTTCATTCTTTTGTCGCAATGTTAGATTTGGTGTCTGTCCTGTGACAAACAGATATGTTTTCAGTTTTATATTTTGGTACTAAAAATGATTTGAATAAAAAAAAAAAAGGGTCACATATGCTGTCCCAACATTCATCTAACAGCCAATGATAAGAATTGGCTTAGATGACTTTTTCCTCTTTTTTTTTCTTACCGCTAAATTACATCATACTGCAATTCTTTTAGTCACCAATATGGAAAAATGAGGCATTCAAGCAGAGACAGTGATTTGGGAATCTAGCTGAACACTGTTTCCGGATAGGATCCAAGTAAGCAACCAAGTAACATAATTGTTAGGATAGTGACAAAAAAGTTAGTCAACAGCGTATTATAAGAAAAGTTTCTCCAACTTGGAAAGAAAAAACTAAAATATTCTGAACCAGTAAGAAGTAAGGCCTCGTTTGATTCACGCGTTTGTGTGGTTTTGTTTATTTATGTTCAAATTGTGAAAATAATGGCGATAAGTTCAAAAGAATTTGGGTTTAGGGTGGTTAATATGTCACATCATGAGTTCAAACCCAACACAAGATTTCGCAATCCAAACAATTTTCAATCGGGTTGAAGGGTTGAACCATAAATTTGTCTATGGTGATTGGAGATCAGAATTCCACTTTAATTCCTTTCCCGGATGTTTCTTTAACAACGTCTCAAGCTCATAAATACTACAAAGAGAGCCATATTAAAAGCTAAAACTAGCCCTCTGTCTCTAGCAGAGAAAACCTTCATAAATAATAATAATAATAATAATGATAAATATATAAAAAAAAAAAAAAAAAAAAAGAGTTGAGGAAGTCATAGAGAAGTAAAAAGAATGGCTTTTCTAACAACATGTTGGTTTATCATTGAAACTGTAATCATCCCAGATGGATTTCGGAAGTGGTTTTATTTGAGCTTCTATATCCATCCCTTGATTCTTTTCTTCTGTCAAATCTTCCTCTGGCTCAAACTGCTAAAAGACTGCCTTGTATTTGTACTAGTATCTCCTCTTAGAGTCACTTGTGCTTTCTGTTTGTACATATTTGGTCTTTGTAGAAAGTGTGTCATCTTTTTTCTCTCATTCACTAGATTTTACAAAGGTGAAGTTGAAGAAGAGGTTGAGCAGTATTTTGATGCTCAACCAAGATTTTACTCGAATGCAATTGCTGATTCGTATACACGGTCAATCGATGCATCTATTCAGTGCAAGATAAAACTTCTTGAGGCTGAGGAAGATGTATGTGAAGAAGCAGTTAATTATGCAGAAGATTCACTTCTCTGTATGGAGGGGCCTACGTACTTGTTGTACAGTTCCAACTCATTCACAAGCGCAACAAATGAAAATTCAAATGGATTTCCACTTCAGATTCAGACGGACTACGCAGAAGGCTCAGTTCTTTATGGAAACATGGAAGACGTTATGTCCTATCGCGGTGAAGTTACACTCGGGAACGAGTACTTTTTTGGCAGTTCCAGCTCATTCACAGCAGATGAATATCCAAACATTGAAGTTCTCCCGCCTTGTAGCTCCAACTCAGATGATGGAGATCTCTACATGGATGAATATTCACCCACAGCCTGTAATGCCTCCGATTTTCTACTAATTGAAAGAGAAGTGACTGCAGGAGAAGAAGACAAGGAAGAATCAGATGGATTTTACGAGATGTACAATGAAAGAATGAGATGGTTCGACGTACTCAATTACGAGAGAACTTGTGGAATGAGTAGGTCTTAATTCATCAAAATGTGCCTTAGAATACAGTAACATATTCATTTCGGGTCTTAGAACATTTATAGTCTCCTGAGCATACTGTTTATAGGCTAGAAATTAGTTATGGTAGTAGTACTATAATGCTTCTTTTGAGTACCTTTTAAAATTTTTCATAGTCCTTGTTGGTTCAACTTGGCCATTCTAGGTGCAATTGAAGACAAGCAGATGGGAATTTCCAGTCCTTTCAAGATCATAGACCATCCGAACTCCGGCGCTCTACACACGATCTCATGGAGCAAAATGACTCAAAGAAGGCTTTTGAGAAGCATAGAGAGTGACTTTGAAACGGTTTATGTGGCTCAATCATGCTTGTCTTGGGAGGTCCTTCACTATCAGTACAGAAAGGTGAAGGAAATCGAAAGACCTAGCTCTCAGAATAACATATTTTGTAGCAATGTTGCAGGTGAATTCCAGAAGTTTCAAATACTACTAGAGAGATTCATGGAAGATGAACAGTGTGAGGGCAAAAGAGTACGGAATTATGTTCAGGGAAGATTCTCTCTCAAAAGTCTTCTTCAGGTGCCAGAGTTTTCAGGTAAGATAATTTGGTTTATTTATTTATTTATGCATTGTTATTATAATTTGGAAAAGGTACGGAATTATGTTCAGGGAAGATTCTCTCTCAAAAGTCTTCTTCAGGTCCCAGAGTTTTCAGGTAAGATAATTTGGTTTATTTATTTATTTATGCATTGTTATTATAATTTGGAAAAAGCGATGTTTCTTGATTAAATTAAGTAATGTTGTTTCTATAGCTACTCTATGTCCTATATATTAACCAAAGACTCACAAGGGTCAAGATAGTTACTAAGAAGCGAAATAATCAGTTAGTGTTTATCCACTAATTCCTAAGAGTAGTTTTCACACTACTATTGTTCTAATATTTTTGTTTCACATGCTTCCAAATGTATGTGTTGTTATTGGTTAAAATTCTAAATACCCTTTGTTTTTGTTCCTAATACCTTATTATATCTCATATTGTTGGCACATACTTGTCAAAGAAAAGTTTTATCTTGCTAAGAAGATGTATTCATGTAGACTTGAAATTAAATAGTGGCATGTGGATGCTTTCAAATGAAAGAGACAATAGAAATTTCAAGCGAGATTGAAAACAATGATATCCTCTATGCTTCATTGAAAAAAAAAAAAAAATTGCTGATATTTTCCCAATATACATTCACAAACTATCATAAGAGTTCACACAATTATTTATTTATTCACCTGAAATAAGAATGTAATATATAGTTAAGGGCTTCATGGAGGAGAATAAGGAAGAGATGAAGGGACAAGGGACAAATGTGAAAGGAGTTTTGAAGGCCATAGAGGAATGCATAGAAGCCTTTTGGTTGTTTGTGAAAACAGACAACAAAAAGTGTTGGTGGAAAATTAAAAGTTCTTCATGGGCTTATCCACCTGTGGAAGACCCAAGAGATCTTGAGCTACTAGCTGAGCTCACCAAAAGACTCCAAAAGGTAAACCCAAATAACAATAATCTTCCTAATATGAAATGAAACTCAAAAAAAAAAAAACCTGATTGAAAGTTTTTGACTTTCTTGAAGAACAAATTGTGGTTGAAAGATTTGCAAGGGAAGAAAAGGTGTTTGTTAAAGAGGATAGTGAATCCTATGGAGGAGTCTCAAGGAAAAGAGATGTTGTTCACAATGATAGACATGAAGCTTGTTTCAAGGGTGATCCAAATGTCTATGATCTCCTCATCCCAACTCAAGTGGTGCCAAGAAAAGCTAGACAATGTTGAGTTTAAAGATGGAAAGCTACTGAGGGCATGTACTTATCCCTTATTCCCACCCTAAGCAACTGCCAAATGATTCATATGAGAAAGTGAAAATAACAGCCAAAAAAAAAAAAAAAAAAAGAAGAAAATTTGTTGTTCTCTGCTTTAGGATGTATATATGCATATGAAGTCTGGAAATCCATGTTCATGTAATCATCTCAAGCTAAATCTAGACCTATATTAAGTCACGTGTAACAGAAGTTTTCAAATGGGTGTATGTGTATAAATATATAAATATATATGAATGTGTATGTGTATGTATCTTTTTGCCTGAAATTCCATTGTGATATAGCTCAAAAGGCTTCACTTTATCAAATGGATATCAAACTTAACTATATTGGAAACATTCACTAACAATCCACTTTTTGCCTCGCTTTCCCCCTTTTTTTTCTTTGCTTATCTCAGAATTTGGTCCTTTTGCCTTTTTGCCTCTCTTTTTTGGCCAAGATAAGCTGAGAAGTTAGTGTAGTAAACAAACGGAAGACATAAAGTTAAAGACATCTTTCACAAAACAAAACCTAAAAATGTTTCCAAATTACTTTTTTCCTTTTTTTTTTTTTTTGGTTTTATAATTTATGACATTTGTTAGCGAATGGAGAACCACATTTGTTAAAAAGGCTAATGAACAGCCGGATCAATCGTCATCTTTCTTGATTGGAAAATATTCCCTAGGCCCTAACCTTTCACGTGATCAAATAGAAGTGGGGAAAAAATTATCACAAAAATGAAAAATTCATAAAAATTAGGAGACGTTTAGTTTATGAATTAAAATTATAAAATTAAAATTATTTTTAATTTATGTATATTTTTTATAAAAAAAATAATATAACAAATCATAAATTATAATTTAAATATTTAAATATTTCAACTAAACATCTCATCAATGTTGGTGAATCTTCACCTTTACCTTCAGAATCAACGAGCCTTTCATGACTCGTAAAGCCAACACGTTTTAACTCTTCCTTGTCATTTTTCCTTTTCTTGTTTTTTTTTTTTTGGGTAGAATGTCGCTTTTCTGATGGAACGCGTTTTCAATTAAGGGAAGGTGAACAAATAGTGAGCGTCTTAAATAATTTCCGTAAGAACAAAATTAATTTCATCGGAAGAAATCATTTTGGTACTCGAATATTTCTCAATTATTACGAAGATATTCTTGTTTTTAATATACTTTTAACTTTTTTAAAAACCGAGCTTTGGACATCGAAACCCCTTTTTCCCCTTCTAATTTAACTGTTTAGAAATAAAAAAAAATAGAAAGTATCAGTTTTTTTGAAAGCGAAAATATCATGTATTTATATTTGAACACCACAATAATACTAAAAAAAACGTCGAAAGCGATATTTATTTTTATTTGAAGGATTATTGACATTTTTTCTGACATTTTTATGTTAAAATCAACTTCAAGATATAAAATGATAAAAAATTAATTTCAATGTATAAAAATTAATCTTTGAAAATATAATAATATATTAGAAAAGAAAACAAAATGTTTCCATAACAATAATGAAAAATATAGGGTATAGTTTTCTAATATATATGCCCTTGGTTTTTTTTTTTTTTTTTTTGAAAAGTAACATTAGGTTAATTGGAGGGATATGATGTTTTGAGGGTTGATATTTGAAAAATGAAGAGGGACGAGAAAATTGTTAAATTTATTTTTAAAGATGTATGATTTTAAAGTTTTATCATTATTTTTTTAATTAATATAGTTATTTAATTAAAAAGATAAAAATTTAAATTTGTGCATTTTAAAAGGTGTTAATCTCCTTTTCTTAAAAAAAAAAATTATAATGTTACCATTTTTAAAGTTTAGTTATTTATACCGATCATATAGTATGAAAATTAAGCTTGAATTTTTTACACAATAATATTTGAATTGAAATGTTTCACGTTTCAGAAGAATTGTTGTCGTTTAGCACACAGGAGAGGGAGGGGGAGAGAGAGAGAGAGAAATATGTGGTGGTTAGCTTGAGAGAGAGAGAGAGTGACAGTGTATGATGATGATGATCCAAAGATTCCAAACAAAAAAGCTCGACTCCTCTGATGAGGAATCTACAACTAATTTGAACCTCAAACTTTCCTATGATATGATTCATATTTTCTGAGGGATCCAGCCGTCCCAACCACCATTCCTAAATCTTTTTTTTTTCTTTTTTTGCCCATGCTTTCTTCTTCTTCTTCTTCTTCTTCTTCTTAATCAACCACAATTTGCCATTTCCAATTCCGCCCAAAGCAATAATTAAACAAACTCCTTCGTAGCCATGGCTTCTTCCATTGGAGGGTCTCTTCCTTTTATATCGGAGACCAAGTCTGAGAAATCCTTGCTTCTCCGCAACAAAACCTCAAGATTCCCCTTCTTTCGGAATCTCCAGAGAAACTCTCTCAAATACACTTGTCTCAATTCTACTTCTTCTTCTTCTTCTTCTTCTCCTTCTTCTTCTTCTTCTTCTTCTTCTTCAGTTGTGCGATTACGAAAGAATAGTAAGGCTGTGAGAGCGATCGGTAAGGGCTTAGAAGAGGCGGACAATGATGAAGAATCGTCGGAGGAGACGCTTCAGGCCAACATTGAGAAGAGCAAGAAGGTTCTCGCTGTACAAAGAGACTTGCTTCAACAGGTACTTCTTTCTTTCTTTCTTTCTTTTTTTTTTTTTTTTTAATCTTTAGTCGTTGCTTTTTGGTAGGTAGAAATATGGGTATCTTTTTTATTCGTTTATGGAGTAGAAAGAAGAACTAATTAATGTTTTTCTTTAATTGCTATCTGGGACTGAGTTTTTTCTTCCCATATTAAAGCTGATCATGTAGTAAATGCCTCAACTTTGGCTTGTAATCACCTAAATTAATTCCATTTCTGTGGGGTAGCACCATATCCCTTTTGCAAGGCTTGTAAACACAATCCAACTTTAAAATTATGTTTTTTTTTTTATAATTATTTCCTATGTGACTTGTCCAAAATAATTAAAGTTGTTCTATTTAACAATTTTAATATTTTAAAACTAACTATCATTATTCTATAGATTATATTTGAATGTAACATAATCCAATCTGATATGGACAGTATTAAGTCTCAGTTTCAGTTTCATTTCTAGTTAGTACCTATTCTTCCTTTTCTTTTTTTTATTAGTTTACTTAAAATTCATGGTTTTGTTTTTTCAGATTGCAGAAAGAAGAAAATTGGTTTCTTCTATAAAAAGTAGTACCGTTGATTTAGCAGAAGATGACACTTCTTATGAGGAAGGAGACAACTCTATCTTAAATGCACGAATCGTTGACGATAAAGAAACTGTTGAAAACCAGAATAAAAACGTTACTGCTTTTTCAAGCACCTATGCCCAGTCTACTGCAGAACAGAAGCCAGAAACCTTACCATCCACTGCTAACAGAATTGGTGAAAGCGAGAGTAATTATGGTAAAGATCTATCGAAAGAAAATGATTGGTCTGATCCGCTTCCATCTTTTCTTTCAAGTATGCCCGAAGCTTCTACTCTTAAAGTTGAGAAGCGAATAGATTTGGAAGAACCAAGTCAAGAGGTGGTTAATGATCAGAAAGACACTCCTGAGAATGAAATAAAACCCTCCAAACCTCCTTCGGACAAGGGCAGAACTGTCTCAGGCACCTTTGCCCGTTCTAGTTTGAATGCTGTTAAAAAAGAAACTACTGTAAAGAAAAATTGGTCTGATCCGCTTCCACCTTTTCTTTCAAGTATCTCTAAAGCTTCCACTCTTAGAGATGAAAAGCAAGTGGACTTGGAAGAACCAAGTCCGCAAGTCATTGATGATGAGAAAGCCGGTGGTGAAAGAGATGAGGAAAAACCTCCTCCTTTGGCAGGGGCAAATGTCATGAACATCATATTAGTAGCTGCAGAGTGTGCTCCATGGTCAAAAACAGGTACTATATTTTGTGCCCATATTATCGGAAGGAAGGTCATCTATTGGGAACATGTTCTAGCGTAAGATGGTTCAACTCCTCTGCAAAAGAAACCGTCATTGATAACCCACATTCCCAAGCCAGGACGACTTATCTAGTAAAAAAGTTTTTCTTCTTGCTGTTAGAACCAATCAAAAGTTTGTTGCTTTTTTATTTTATGGTAAAAAACACTTTGCTACATTCCTGTAGACACATGCTTGAGGGAAAAAAAATCCTAAATTATCATTGGTGTGCATGTTGTTTATAAGCAAGAGAACATGGTTGCGGGTCTCCACAATTTAGAGACTGATATATGAATCTCGTAGGTGGGCTTGGAGATGTTGCTGGGGCTTTACCCAAAGCTTTAGCTCGGCGTGGACATCGGGTTATGGTAATGTCTTCCTCTTTTCAAAATTTGAATTGGGGAATATCATTCCAAATGTCAGAGATAGAATTTATTGATACTACAGGTCTAAGGTTAAGCTGAACTTACATTTAGAATAACCTGCCTTTTTGCCACCAGCCTAGTTGTTCCCCTTGCAAGTATCTTTTAGCGTGTAAGCATTATATTTATGTAAAATGTAAAAGATAAAAGAAATATGAAATATCTGGAACTGCCGGAACTTTTAGGTGTCTTTCTTTAAGTTGGTCTTTGATCCTAACTCCTAATTCCTACCTGATTTACTTGGCTATGGATCTTGGAAAACAAGATTTATTGTTATCTGCCTTCTTTTTTAAACTTTTTTCATTAGTCACCTAACTTTTCCACCTTACTTTTCCTTTCTCTCATAGGTTGTGGCACCTCGCTACGGTGACTACGCTGAAGCCAAAGATGCAGGAGTCCGGAAAAGATATAAAGTACATGGACAGGTGTGCAATCATTGCATAATTAACTGTGATCATCTTTAATCATATTGAGAGGTTTCGTTGCACTTTCCCATTGCAATGACTAATGACAACTTACTTTACAGGATCTTGAAGTTACATACTTCCAAGCCTATATTGATGGAGTAGATTTTGTTTTCATTGACTGTCATCATCTCTTTCGCAGTAGAGAGAAAGATATATACGGAGGAGACCGATTGGTGAGATATCTATTCTTGCTCTTTTTGTCAGTTAGTTGTGGCTGCTGGAAGATAATCTGGTGGCAAGTGTAATTTGCAATGATCATATGTTTATATTCATTAGAAGTTCTATTGTCTTGTCACATAGAGGTATTATCATACGCAACTGCCACCAAGTTTTTAAATTCTTATATCCCTTTTTAACATCTGTTAATTATGATTTATGATAGCTTATATACAACAAAATCTTCTCTTCCTTTGTTGTGAAAGCCTGCCATTGGCGCGTTGCCTGCCAAATTATGTAATGTAAGATTTGGTTTTGTTGCACATAGGACAAAATTAGCCTATGTGGCTCGTAGATGGCGGAAAGGTTGTGTTTGGAACTGGGGGCTGGGTTGATGGCACACCCCTATGAAAATGTTCAATTTATTTTACATTATTTCTTATTGTGATAGCTTAAGCCTAATTATTCTCAACTTTTACCTTAAAACATTAGGCCACTGCTGTTTTTTTTTTATAATTACTCGAACCTCACATGGGTTTAGTTTCATGTTGCAGGAGATTTTGAAGCGCATGGTGTTGTTTTGCAGGGCTGCTGTTGAGGTACATCATTCGATGCCCATTTAAGCTGATCCAATATAAGAAACACCCCATTTTACCAAGTTATTACTAAACAATTCTGCCGCACCTTTGCACGTAAAATATTTTAAGTGTGAGGTTGTTAAAATTCAGAAGAGGAGAGGCAAGACTGATCTAATGTTACTCACACGTCACACCTCAAATTTAGATCATAATTCGTTTCATCTAGGAGGCAAGAATGGAAGACTCAGGTGATCATTTGTGATCAGATTAGTTAGACATGACTCTGTATTGTAGTTGTAAACTTCATTTCAGTGTGGTGAGGATATCATTTATGTGCGCTTGTATGTGCTTAGATGCCATGAAGATGAGTTGGTGACTTTCAGGTCCCTTGGTATGTTCCGTGTGGTGGTGTCTGCTATGGAGATGGAAACTTGGCTTTTATTGCAAATGATTGGCACACAGCGCTTTTACCAGTGTATTTAAAGGCATATTATCGTGATCATGGTTTAATGAAGTATGCGAGATCAACGTTTGTAATTCACAACATAGCTCACCAGGTTTGTTCCTGTTCAGTGAATTATGATTAATACAAGTGAACTCGTATTTTATACCTTATCCAAAGCTGAAACTACTTAGAGTTGTTAAGTTAAATGCTTATAGCTCTCACCTCTCACGAAAACAAGCACACGTTACTAATAAATCTTAACTTGTCTTTTGAAAATGTTGTGACATTGAGTGCATAGGCTCATTGGCGGATCAACATGAGGTGATTTGGCTGTTTGTGACCCACAATTTCCATATTCCTCTGGAAAAACAGCACGTCATAAGCCATATATTAATCTTTGTATTTGTCATTTTTGTTTCTTCTCAAACAAAATAGAGGTATTCATTGTATATTCATATAGTACGTAAAAGTCTCTGCACAACAAAATGATGTTTCAAAATCTTGAGTTGAATTTATTGTATCCAGGGTCGGGGCCCAGTAGATAATTTCGTCACCTTGGATCTGCCGGAACATTACATTGACCTTTTTAAACTGTACGATCCAGTTGGTGGCGAACACTTAAATATCTTTGCAGCTGGGTTAAAGACAGCAGACCGCATCGTTACCGTAAGCCACGGATATGCCTGGGAGCTTAAAACTCCTGAAGGGGGCTGGGGTTTGCATGGGATCATCAATGAGAATGACTGGAAACTCCGAGGAATTGTAAATGGAATTGATACAAAAGACTGGAACCCAGAATGTGACGTCCATCTTTCAACAGATGGTTACACAAACTACTCCCTAGAGACGCTCCAGACTGGAAAGCCTCAATGCAAGGCAGCATTGCAGAAGGAGCTGGTTTTACCTGTTCGCGACGATGTTCCTGTCATTGGTTTCATTGGGAGACTGGATCAGCAGAAAGGTGTTGATCTCATAGGTGAGGCTATTCCATGGATGATGGGTCAGGATGTGCAACTTATCATGTTGGGAACCGGCAGGCCAGATTTGGAACAGATGCTCAGGAATTTCGAAAGCCAGTATCATGATAAAGTCAGGGGATGGGTCGGTTTCTCTGTAAAAACCGCCCACAGGATAACTGCAGGAGCAGACATTTTACTCATGCCATCAAGATTTGAGCCTTGTGGTCTAAACCAACTGTATGCCATGAAATATGGCACAATCCCGGTGGTTCATGCTGTTGGTGGACTGAGAGACACCGTGCAGCCTTTCAATCCATTTGAAGAATCGGGATTGGGTTGGACATTTGATAGTGCCGACGCAAACAAGCTGATACACGCATTAGGGAACTGCTTGTACACTTACCGGGACTACAAGAAGAGTTGGGAAGGACTCCAGAGACGAGGAATGATGCAAGACCTTAGTTGGGATAAAGCTGCTCAGAATTATGAGGAGGTCCTTGTGGCTGCCAAGTACCAATGGTGATGAGTGTTTGCTGCTTATGTTTGATTATGAGGTTTTCATAAAGCTCAAAACTGTCCTAGAGGATGTGCGGCTAGGGCTGTTCATAAACCCGCAAAACCCCTAGCCCACCCCAACCCAACCCGAAAACTGCAATTTATAGTATTAAATTTTTTTCAGCTCATTCAATGTCTGGCCCGAAGTTTTGGGACGGGGTGTGGATTGGGCATAATGCCCGCATACTCCAACCCAACATGCACTCTAACTTGCTTTCTCTAATATCTAACCCTAAGCAGGCAACTCATTTCTACTCTTTAGTTTTTTCATGTTTGAATTAAGCCTCTATGTTTGCTTTATGTGACTAATTTCTGAGTGTTGACTAATTTATGTTTGCTTTATGTTTGATGTTGGATGGACTACTTTACTTCATGTTTGATGTTGGATTGAACTTTGAATTTCTATTTGTTTGAATGTTGGAGTTATTATTTTTATTTGATGATGAACTTTGAATGTTAGATTGAACTTTGAGTCTTTGATTCTTTGAATATTGAAATTGATCACCCAACTCACCCCACACCGCCCCTACTCAACCCAAACATCATTAGGTTGTGAAATTTTTTTAACGGCGTTGGGGTTAAATATGTGCAACTCGCACCCTTTAAGATAGGGAAAAAAAAAGTCCTACCCCTCACCAATTCAACCCATGAATAGCTCTATGTGCGGCTCAGGCATGCTCTTGTACTAAGTTATGCTAAGTGAAGCAATTTTTGGGCAGATAGTGTTTTTACATGTTTTGCACTCTTTCATTTTCATGTAACACCAATCTAGAAAGACAAGTAGACAAATACTTTTCTAGTGTTGACAAACGTACTAGAGCATTTCAAGTGTAGCCAACCAGGAAATTTGGATGGAATGATTTTTTTTCTTGTTTCACTTGTTTCCAACCAGGAAATTGAGAAACGAACCATCTTATCATAAAAGCGAGAGCACCTTTAAAAGACGACAAATTTTGTAAGAACGACAGCATCTAACAAATGTAAGCAATAACCCGATAATTTGAAATGGGATGGATTGAAAAAGATTTCCCAAACCAGGTAGCAAAAAAAGAGAGAGAACGAGCAAGAGAAAGGCAGAGAGGGAGAGTGCGGAAAGGCAGGTAGGCCGACGTGTCGCCGGTCTGCAGGCTTTCGTTCTTTGTCTAGAGAGTGGTCGCCGGTGTATCTACACTGTGCCGGGGTTCGCGCCGCCAGGGGAGTGGGGCCTGGCTCGGATTAGAGATCAGTCGTGGGAGAGGGTTATTCGCCGCCGATCTGGTGACGGGACCATCGATGGAGGAGGCATTGTCATCCGAGGTGGTCGTGGGAGACTTGGATCTCCTCTAAGATCAAGCTAGGTCAAAGGGTGGATGGAATGTTTTGGGCTGCTTGGATTTGTTGCTAGTTGGGAGGGTTTGGTCGCCGCCCGCCTAATGTCGATGTTGAGGGACCCAACCGTGGTTGTGGTTGGGTTCGTGCCGCCGAGTGAGGGTGGCCAACGATACTGTTGGTCTCGCCGTGGGGTTGGCCAAGTTGGGGCCTCGGATGCTCTCCAATGGGTAGGTGGATGGAGTTGGATGGCTGAGACTTCGCAGTGAATGGCGTCGAGGGATCTCAAATACATGGTTCGCGGTGGAGGCGGCGCTCTGGACTTGTGTTTAGTCTTGTTTTTATGTTATGTGTTTGTTTTTGTTTATGGTGTATTGATAATAAAGGAAGTGGCGGTTTCAACACCTCCTAGTGTTCATGATGTCCCTCATCTGGTCGAGTCGATCATTGTCGGTGTGGGTTGTTTAGTCTAATTAATTTTAGGCCTCATAGATGTCCCTTATATGAGGGGTTTGGTCTCGGTCGACTATATTATTTGGTCTCTTTCAACAAGCTTCGACTATACTAGATTTTTATGTGTTGATCAGGCTTTTCTCCTTTAGATATCAGTATTAATATTTGTCCTTGTGCTATAATTGTTTTTACTAGTGGATTCTTTTGTTGGGGTCGAATTCTATTATATTCGGAGTCATTTGTCACACGTATGTATTTCATTCTTTTTGATAATAAAATTTCCTTTTATCAAAAAAAAAGAAGAATGGGATGGAATTTTTTTTTTTAAACCTTGTTGGAATATGATTCTTGTATACATCCATGGCGATATTCACCTCGAACCTGTACTTTTGATTACATTCCTATTTGTTTGCAGTCAAAATCTTCAACTTTCTAAAGATAAAGAATGAAAAAATGTGAATTTTTTTCCCCGAGGAAGTAAAATCAGGGGAAAAAATAATTTTAAAATGGCAATTCAAATTTGTTGTCTACGAATTCGTTCCTCACTTTCAGCTTCAACCTCTACTTTGACGAAGTCTATGAACTTTGACGCTGTGCTTCTTCCATGCTATTCTCTGAATCCAAAGTGCGATGTCTGCGTCTCTTCTGCAACTGCACATGAGATTCCGCAGTTTCAGTGGGATTTAGTTGTCCTTGCTGATGCAATGTGAATAACATGAGAGAGTTATTCAAAATAATAATAATAATAATAAATAAAATTAAAATAACCTGAGAGAGAGAGAGTATTAGCAAAAACGAAATAATCTTGAAAAACGACAACATTTACTCTACAAGAACGTGTTAAGAAAACAGGAAGCGGTGAAAAAGAAAAAGAAGCAATTTTGGAAAATAAAAGAAAAAAAAAATTAACGGAAAGAACAATGTTTCAAAACAAACGAAGGTCTCCTATGGTATGGTTCGTTAATTTAAATTTTATTGATTTAAGCTTTTTAATTTAAATAAAAAAATTTAAACTATATGATTTAAATTGAAGTTTGAATTGACGTTTGGATTAGTAATTAAAATTTTAATTTAAACAGGAAATAAAATTTAAATTTGTGTTTGATAGGTGTGAAAAGTAAAGAGAGTGGACACTTTTTTACTGTTTAAAAATAATTTAAACAGTTGAACTTGAGGGGAGCTAAACTCTAAGTTAGACCGTTCAACTCAGTTCAAACGGAGAATATAATTTAAAAGGCATGTTTAGCAAACACCAATTCAAACTGTACTCACTGTTTAAATTGAATTGAACTGAACTAAACGAGTAGAACAAACGGAAACGGAGGACAAACGGAGGTGAATTAAATCTAAATAAGTTTTTGGTGAGGCATTAAATATGAATTAAATTGGCGGTTGAACTAAAGAGTTTAAACCCCTCCATCAATTCAACTTTTCAAACCACCTCTACAATAAACCACTCCACAATTCCCTTTTTCTTTTTTTTTTTCTTTTTTTTGACTGGGCCAACATGTTTGATTTTTGCCGTCGACACTCTCTGAGTAATAAATGGCCCTGTTTGTGTACAATGAATGGTTGTTGCTGATTTTTGCCGTTGACACTGTCCGAGTAATAAATGGCCTCGAGTCGTCTCGACGTTGTTTCGCAATGACCGGTAGACGCGCAAATGTGTGAACGAACTGAAAGAGGAAGAAAATAAAGTGAAAGCTTCATTTTTGGTTTCTTTCTAACTGTAAAATTGTCCAATAATTGAGACAGTCTAAACCGAGCAATAATCCATTAATATGATAAAGCCGCACCAAGCATGTAAAGCATAGTGTGATTTCTCTCTAAACAGAGAGTACGATAATTTGAAACAAAAATAAAAAATAACTACTTTCCAAGGGCGTTATAGCGAGTTCAATAAGGTTGGTAGATATCTTAGTTATCATGGGACGCAACAGAATCTCTACTTCATGAAAATATTAGTTAACGAGTTTTACTCAAGTCTATTATAAGTTCTTCTTCTTCTTTCTCTCTCTCTCTCTATTTCACTAAAATAAAATAAAAATTACTTGACCTACAAGAATCCAGCTTATGAGCAAAAATATTTGCTAAAATGAACATGAAGACCAATCCAAGATTCATGTCTGTTCTTCTCTTCGTGTGTTTGTTTCTCGAGATGAATCTATCCCTAGGAGTTGATACCATCTCTGCAAACCAGTCTCTCTCTGGTCACCAAACCATTGTATCTGCTGGTGGGGTCTTTGAGCTCGGATTCTTTAAGCCGGGTAAGTCTCCAAACTATTATATAGGCATGTGGTGGAAGAAAGTTACGGTGAAGACTGTAGTTTGGGTTGCAAATAGAGAGAAACCAGTTTTAGATAGATTTTCTTCGGAGATGAAAATCTCAAATGGCAATTTAGTTATTTTCAACGGGTCCAAAATCCCAATTTGGTCCACAAACGTGAATTCCACAAGGTCGGCTTCTGTGGAAGCCGTTCTTCTGGATAACGGCAACCTCATCTTAAAACACGTCGGGAAACAGATGAAACCGATATGGGAGAGTTTTCATCATCCAACTGATAGTTTGCTACCTGGTTGCAAATTTGGATTCAACAAAAAGACCAAAAGAAAGATAGTTCTCACGGCATGGAAGAATCTAGACGATCCTGCCCCTGGTCGCTATTCAATGGAGCCATTCGCAAGGGATAACTCCTTTGTCATAGAGTGGAATATGTCTAGAGGCTTCTGGAACACTGGAACTTGGAACGGGGAGATTTTTAACCTTGTGCCTGGGGTGAACATTCATAGTCTCTACAATTTTAGCTATGTTTCAAATGACAAGGAGAGCTATTTCATATACTTTGTTGAAAACACTACCAAGACTATATCTCGACTTGTTATGGGTATTTCTGGCCAGCTGCAGCAACCATTGTGGATGCCTCCTGAAGGGTGGAGAACGATTTGGTCTTTCCCGAGACAGCAATGTAAAGTTCATGCCTTTTGCGGGCCATATGGAAGCTGCACAGATAGCGCTAATGTGTGTAGTTGTTTGACAGGATTCAAGCAAAAATCGCCGAGTGATTGGGATTTGAAGGACTACTCTGGAGGATGCATTAGAAAGACCAAACTTCAGTGCGAGAACTACAATCTATCAAGTGGTGAGAAGGACAAATTCCTTGAACTTCCTGACATGCTTTTGCATGAAAGTGAGCAATTTGTTAAAGTAGGGGATATTACAGCATGTGAATCGACATGCTTAAATAACTGCTCTTGCGTGGCTTATGCTAATGACAACAAGCATGGTTGTTCAATTTGGACAAACGATCTCTTAGATCTGGAGCAACTCAAAGCTGGAGACAACAATGGAACAACTCTCTACCTTCGACTAGCAGCCTCCAACTATTGGGATGCTATGAAGAGTAAGAGACTGATTCGAAGTGCTAGTAATAAGGCACTGATTATAGGTGTTGTGGTGGGCTCAAGTGTAGTAGTTCTCCTAGGCCTTATTCTATTTTCTG